TGTTTTTACCGGCTGGTTCATATGTTTTTATTAAATTTTCATTATAAATTAACGTCTAAATATCAAAAGCAATTAAAGTTGAGTGGAAAGAAAGATAATTAAATTATGTGAGGGTATAATGGTCTTTAACGTTTTGAGAACGGCTATATTTTTCTTCCGCCCAACTAGCCTCTTATTTTATTTTATTTTTTGTACGTTTAATGTTATATAAAAAAATAATTTTTTATCTTTTCTTAAATCTTCCCTTATCCAATTTAAGATTTAAGTTTAGAAACTTTAATTTAAAATTTTAAAATTTAAAATTCAATATTGAATCACTCCTGTACTAGCCTCTTATTTATTTAAGAGAATCTTCCCCTTTTAAAATTTGAAGCCTGACTTGCCGAAAATGGCCTTGCACTGGCCATCCTTTGCGTATCAGTGCTTTTGACGGAATCACCCCTCACCATGGGCAAATACCTGTTATTGCTACGGTACTACTAGAAAAAATGGAGGAAATTCCCGTTTGAATTTGATAGAGTATTTTGCTGTCAGTTTTAGAATATTTGTGAGGAAAATAATTGAGAATTTTTTTTATATAATTTTAAATGTCACTTGATTCATATATACTAGTAATTGATAATAATATTATATTTTTTATTATTTTTTGTAGTTTTTTAATTTTTTGTTCTTACACCTAAATTAGCAGTAAAAGATTGGATTATATAAGATAAATGATTAATCCAATTAGCACCAATTGCAAATAAATGACTAAAATTAAAACTCAAAAGAAATGAAAAAAGTTCCCATAATCATTATTTATATAGTATAAATTTAATATTAGCTCACATTTATAAGCATTATCTATCTACAAATTAATTTCTACCATAACATAATGAGATTATTAGGTAGAATTTAAGATTTTTAAATTTAAAATTTTATACTACATGTTATCTTCAAAAAATTTCATTGTTATAGAATTTACATGAGGTTAAATACCAAGTTTGGTCCCTAATTTTTATTTTTGAATCAAATTTACCCTTAAACTTAAAAAAGTATTAAAACAATCCTTGAACTTCAATTTTTGAGACCAGTTTTATCTTTCTATTGACGGAATTGCCAGATGGCACGTTGAGTTGCCACAAAAGCATTTTTTTGTTTTAAACCTTTAATGACATGAAAAATTACTTATCCATTACATGCCACGGGGAGTTTTATTGTCCGCATTGGATTCTCATCACTTTTGCTCTCCCCTTTAAGTGAGACCCACGGGTATTGGTGACAAAGATCTAGTCCACTTTCATCACCATTCTTCATCATCATCATCGAACAACAAAAACCACAAAAAATAAAATTTGTTGGGTTTGGACTTAGCATCCGCATGGAACCTAGGCGTTCGAACCTAGTGGCAATTGGGTTCCAACTGCTGGAACCTGAAACCCAGCTGCCACTACTGTGTTTGAACTCAGTTGCTAGAACGCAACAGCCAATGGGTTTTAGCCGCTGCGGCCGTTGGGTTCCACCTGCTACGGCCGTTGGGTTCAAACGCAACGGTAAAACCCAGTGTCTATTGGGTTCGAAAGAACCAGCAAACCTCAAGGGGAAAGAGAAGGGAAAAAAAAAAACTGGAGATGGTGATAAAAGTAGTGAGGGATGATCAGATCTGAGAGAAGAAAAAGGGTTGCAGGAGGAAAAGGCAGTGATAGAGAGAAAAAGGGGTTGGAGGATGAAGAATGGGGCATTTAAGTAATTTAAAATTTTTTATGTACAAACTAATTAAAATGATTAAGTGGAATTATAAAATTATAATAATTTGACATGGATGAGAAACAAATGCCATATCATTAAAAGAGACACATTTTTTTACATGTCGTTAAAAGTATATTATTTTTTAGGAACTTAATGTGCCATTAGCACTTCTATCGATGGAAAGATGAAATTGGTTTCAAAAATTAAAGTTTAGGGATTATTTTAATATTTTTTAAAGTTTAAAGATAAATTTAATTCAAAAATAAAAGTTAAGGGATCAAATTAGCATCTAACCTTTAAATAAATGAAAATGATAAAAAAATCAAGACCTTAACATAACTTGTGACTTTTTCTATAGTAATAGTAAAAGCATTACTTATGAGATTTATTTTTTAATTTTTTTTATTTAAACAATTTAAATAATTAAGTAATAAATAAAAATATAAAAAAGACTCGCCACAAGCAAATTAATGGGATAAAAGAAATTTTAATTGACTATAAAACACCCCCGGGGCATTTCAGTAAGCAAGGTAGCGTGCAGACGCCGTTGAACATCGGATGGCACTGCTCTTAATTCCAAGATTTCTGGCACTCTTCTCTCGCTGGCAGCAGTTGTAATTCTGCACTAACTTCTCTTATCTCTAGTCTCAGCTCTGCTCTCAACACTTTCCCTTTTGTTTCCTTTTTCTTTCCTGCTAAGTTGCATAAAGTTGCAGCAACATTTCTGTCTCCCCCCACCGGTCCATATTCTGCTAGGTTTTTTCTCTGTGAGCTTTCTTCTTCTTCTTAAAAGTTCACATTGTGCATACTGTGTACTTTCTCTTCTTACTTTCCAGCGTTTCGTTGTTTCTGTTTGCAGATGTCAGATTCGGCGCCTTAGCTTTTCTGGATCGCCTGGTATGGCTCCTTTTGGTTACTATTTTTGCTTCTTCTTTGGTTGCCTTTTCTGGTTTTGATTTACGGTTCGGGTTTCACTGTGTTTGAATCTTGTTTATTTCCTAGCTCGATTCGTGGTTGCAGTTATTGTATTTTTGATTTCTTAAGTTGCAGGAAAGCAAGGTGTTTCTTGTTCTTGATGTTCTTACTACAACCCTGGGGCAAAGATGTCGTCTAGTGGGGGCTCTAGCCAACCAACTGGACAGCCGCAGAGGCGGATTTTGCGGAGGCAGATGGCAGGGAATCTTGGGGAGGCTGATTTTGATAGTGAGGTGGTTCCATCATCACTGAGTGAGATTGTTCACATTCTCCGAGTTGCCAATGAGGTTGAATCTAGCAATGGAAGGGTGGCTTATCTTTGTAAGTTCGTGCCTTATCTTGGTTGATAATGTGGTTTTATATGAGTTTTTTTTTCAACACTAGTCTGTCTGGGATTTTCCACAATGCTAAGGTTGTATTATGCTGTGCCAAGGGCTGTCT